AAACTAGAAGAAGAAGCCTATAACGGTCGAAGCTAGATCAACGTGCTTATAATAATTGTGTGAAATTTTATATACTGCGTATGTAGTCCCCCCCGCGACGCTGATAGATTTTCAGCATTGACGCATACATATTCACTACCGCAGTAATATCACTAAGTTAAATTAACAAGCAATTTAACAAATTTGATGCCATAGCATCTTATAGATCTTAATACTATGTTGAAAGACATATATTAAACTTTAACGATTTTTATTATTAATTTAATGTAAATTAAATTAATAATAAATCAAATTCCGTGAAAAATAAGATTGCGAAGAATATAACAAGTTGGCGTTTCGTCCCGGCTTCCACTACTGGACTCATCAGTAAGGTAATGTAGTGGGAGCCTACCTTAGACGCCGATGTATTAATTTATCTACTACATACGCAGTATATAAAATTTCACACAATTATTATAAGCACGTTGATCTAGCTTCGACCGTTATAGGCTTCTTCTTCTAGTTTATTATTACTTGTTTTTCTAGTGGCGCAAAAACTTGATAAGTCTTCACGGAAGGCTTGGGAACTTAAGCTTGGCGATGCCGTAGAGTATCCGAGTTATCACGACAGCTTCCTCGCAGCTCGCATCCGCGCACTCGATGCATTAGCACCGGCGACTCAAACCGAGAAGTCACCCCCGAATTCCAAAAAGCGAACACTCGCCTCGCATATCGCGTCCGCCGCTCCGTTTTCGTGTACACTTTGTAAGGAGAATCATTTATTATACCAATGTCCTACATTCTTAAAGCAGACTCCATCCCAGCGTTTTGAGTTTATCAAAACTCAAAAACGGTGCTCCAATTGTTTTGGTGTCAAACACTCAGTGAAAGACTGCAAAAGCACTCGCGCGTGCAAAAGGTGTAGTAAACGGCATCACACGTTATTGCATTTCGATGCCTCCGCGCCGCATGTCGAATCGGAGCAACCGTCGACAACGACTCCCGCAAGCAGTGAGAATTCGACTCATATCACGTCTCATTTAATCTCAAAAACCGTGGCACCGAAATCTCAAATCTTACTCGCGACAGCATTAATAAGAGTTTATTCCCCTCATAACCGGTTCATTACCGTGCGTGCGCTTCTTGATCAAGGATCTGTATCCACCTTTATAACCGAATCGCTTGCGCAACGCTTACGATTATCGAGGATGAATTGTTCCGTGTTCATCACAGGCATTAGCGAGATGCAGTCCGTAGCGCGTCACGCGGCCCAAATTACAATTACCCCAGCGAGCAGCGAGGGACCTGCATACACGACAACAGCGCTTATACTTCGGTCATTGACTAAATACATGCCAAGTCGCGTCCGGAGTGCCTATAATTGGAAACACTTAACAGGGCTCCAACTTGCCGATCGCGACCCCATGAGTTCGGAACCAATCGATGTCATAATCGGCGCTGATCTAGTCGGGATGTTGGTTCTTGAGGGAGTCCGACAGGGTAACGAGAATGAACCCACCGCGCAAAATACGACTCTAGGTTGGATCCTCTCAGGATCAACCGCCTCGGTTCAAACTGATGAATCAAAAGGCTTCCATCTTGCGCATCACGGAGTCGTCCTCGAAAGTCTCGATCGCGATCTTCGTCGCTTTTGGGAAATTGAGGAGGTTCCCCAGCCGGAAATTCGAAGCCCTGAGGAGCACCAGTGCGAAGAGCACTTCCGAACAACACATTCCCGCACGCCGGAAGGACGTTACGTCGTCCGATTACCGTTTAAAAACGGACCTCCCATTTCGTTAGGTGAATCGCGTCAGAACGCCATTACCAGCCTACACCGGTTGGATCGCCGACTATGTCGAGATCCCAGAAAAGCATCCGAGTACTCTGATTTTCTAGCAGAGTACGAAACCCTCGGTCATATGACCAAAAGTCCACCCTCCGAAATTGCCAATCAAGAGCAAGCCTATTATATTCCGCATCATGCGGTCCTACGTGATACCAGTGCTACCACCCGCCTTCGAGTCGTTTTCAATGCCTCATGCCGAACCTCAAACGGACTGTCACTCAACGACCATATGCTCATCGGCCCCAAACTTCAAAAGGATTTAGCTGCGATTCTATTGCAGTGGCGTCAATACCGTTATGTGTTTATAGCCGATATCGCCACCGGCAAATTCTAATCGACCCTCGGGATACTGATTACCAACGAATTGTGTGGCAAACGCATGCCACCCCCATCACGGAGTACCGTCTTCTTACAGTTACCTATGACACAGCTGCCGCTCCCTACTTAGCCCTTCGAGTTTTGAACCAACTCATAGAAGACGAAGGAGCCGAATTACCACTCGCCGCTTACGTTCTTGGTCATCAGACTTATGTTGATGATTGCGTTTTCGGTGCAGATGATCCAACTCTCGCTCGTCAAAAACGCGATCAATTAGTCGAGTTGTTAAGAAGAGGAGGCTTTCACCTAAGAAAATGGGCGAGCAACGTAAATGATCTGATCGCTGATCTCGACCCCACCGATCACGGTTTAGCAACTCATAAATTTCTGCAGAACAATGAGAGCCTTAAAGTATTAGGAATAATCTGGAATCCTAAATTAGACATTTTCCAATTTCGTGTAACTTTACCAGCATCAACCGATAAAACTAAACGAGCCATTATGTCGACTATCGCGAAGTTTTTCGACCCATTAGGATGGGCGAAAACTCCCGTTATTATTATCGCAAAAATATTCATGCAAAAATTGTGGGCCCTTCAATGTGAGTGGGACGAAGAAATCCCTCGCCAACATCTTAAAAAATGGTCCGACTACCACGAATTACTTCCGCGTCTCAATGATTTGAGTATTCCGCGCTGGACTACATCGGTATCCAACGCAAGACACATAGCCTTGCATGGATTTTCCGACGCTTCGACGTCAGCCTTCGCCGCGGTAGTGTACCTCCGGACCGTGGATCAAAACAGTTTAATTACCGTCTCCCTTTTAATTGCTAAATCTAGGGTGGCACCGCTTAAAACGCTAAGCGTTCCGCGATTAGAGTTATCCGCTGCCGTGCTACTAGCACGCTTAATTCATTACACCCGCACATCGCTCCAACTCCCAAATCTCGAGTGTCATTGCTGGACGGACTCCACTATCACTCTAGCCTGGTTAAATCAGTCACCGTCCAGATGGAAGACGTTCGTCGCCAATCGGGTTTCGACTGTCCAATATCTTTTCCCAAGAGTTCCTTGGCATCATGTAACGACGCAAAACAATCCCGCTGATTGCGCATCACGCGGTCTAAACCCCAACGTGTTCAAGAAACATGACTTGTGGTGGAAAGGCCCTCCATGGCTGCAAAACTCTCCCGAGTCATGACCAGAATCACGCCATTCGATACCGTCCGATGTGACTCTCGAACAACGATCAGATCCTCCAGTCTTGTCATTACTCGCCTCCCCATCATGGGATCTCGAAACGCGGTATTCTTCATGGCCAAAATTGCTACGGGTCACCGCTTACCTGTACCGCTTTATCACGCGACTTCGTGCCCCTAACAAAACAAAACCTCATATCAATACGTTACTCCCCGAAGAAATTCAGAAAGCTAAGAGTCATTGGCTCAAAAGGATGCAGTCGGATAAGTTCCCAAAAGAGATCGCAGCTCTAAACAAGCAGCGTCCATTACCAAAAGGCATCCTGTCATCCCTCAACCCTTACTATGATGAAGAGGGACTCCTTCGAATTCGAGGAAGACTCCGTCGATCAAGCCTACCAGGCACAGCAAAGAATCCCATTGTCTTGCGCGCACATCCGCTTGTCGCACTCCTTATCAGGCATCATCACTTAAGAATGATGCATGCCGGCTCTCAATTAACGCTCACATCATTGCAAGCTGAGTTTTGGATTCTACTGTCTCGCGCTATCGTTCGATCCGTTCTTTACAAGTGCATTCAATGCACGCGTGAACGCGCCGAGAAACCAGTCGAACTCATAGGCGACCTCCCGGCTGAGAGAGTCAATCGTGCCGCTCGCGCATTTGCGCATACCGGTGTCGATTATGCTAGAGTCCCTATACTAAGAGTCTGGCCAAGGTCTAGTTCTTTGGTCTAGTTCGACAAAACATGGCGTCATCGTACATAACCAAAAACGTGATGTGATCGATGTGGTACTGCACTATTCGGTAAAATAATGAAACGGTATATTACATTTCGCATAAAAATTGATTGCAACAAAGGACGATTACTTTATATATTAAAATAAGAATTATACATATAGTAGTAAAACTATGACTAGGCATGCTGCTATGATATAATTTACTTATATCATTTTAATGTATTTTATAAGTAATCTATTTATAAGTAAAAATTAGAGGATATGTTTACTTATGAATACTATTAAAATTTATTTGTATTTGTATTTTTACATTAAATAAAATGTTAAAAACAACTTTATTATCTCATTGTTCTGTTCCTACTAACTGAATAAAACTGGTGCTGTTTAATAATAATGCTGCTATTAAATGATATAATTATTTATTTATGAATACATTAATTGAAATTATATTTGTATTTTCACATTAAAAAATTGTTAAAAACAGCTTTATTACATTATTGTTCTATTCTTATTCTTTCTATGATTCTTACTAGTTGAATGATACCGCGTCCAAGATATTAAATTCGAGACACTTCATTGGCTCTGCCATATTTTGTCGAAACCAATAGGCTGGATGACAACCTTGGCCAGACTCTTAGTATAGGGACTCTAGATTATGCAGGTCCCATCAATGTCCGAGTGAAATCCGGGCGAGGACATAGGTCACAAAAGGCATATATCGCGCTGTTCGTGTGTCTCACAACCAAGGCTCTGCATGTGGAGCTTGTCAGCGATTATACGTCCTCTGCCTTTATTGCCGCATATCAGCGATTTGTGTCCCGTCGCGGACAACCGAACTCAATGTATTCCGATAACGGCACAACCTTCCACGGCGCCAATCGAGAATTATTCGATGCCCATGCGAGGGCAATTCGCGATCCGAATTTTCGAAACCATCTTGCGACCGACAAAACCGAGTGGCATACCCCCCGCAGCACCGCACTTTGGCGGTTTATGGGAGGCCGGCGTTAAAAGCGTTAAACATCACCTAAGACGTTGCATCGGTCGATACACCCTAACCTACGAGGAAATGTCGACACTTCTCTGTCGGATCGAGGCATGCCTCAATTCGCGTCCGATAGCCCCAGTTTCCAATAATCTCGACGATTATCATGCGATCACACCCGGTCATTTTTTGATAGGAACTCCCATCCTAGCTCCGGCTGAACCTAGTGTGCTTAATTTAAAGGAGAACCGATTGTCGCGCTGGCAAATGGTTCAACGCATAGCGGAAGAATTTTGGAGGTCTTGGTCAAGGGATTACTTGCATACCCTTCAACAGCGTCCAAAATGGCGCACCGTCCTGCGGCTTGCTAAGGTTGGTCAAATCGTCTTAGTGCGTAACGAGTTAGCGCCCCCGAGTCATTGGGAACTCGGGCGTATCATAAGGTGTCATCCTGGAAACGATGAGCTGACTCGTGTCGTGACTGTAAAAACCAGTCGTTCAGAATACAAACGGCCAATAGCGAAACTTTGTTTTCTACCCGTTGACCTTAATACCGAGGATGAAAAGGATTCTGCCATGGCGGGCGGAATTCCCATGTAACGCTTGTAATCGAGTATGTTAATATTTAAGCTCTATTGTAAGGCGCACCGTCACTTTAATTTGTCAACGGCCGAGACGAGGCCTACGACCATTGTATCTTAACTACTTCCATGTATTGTTCGAATGTCCGCATTCGAGGTGGACGGTATGTTCCGGAATGCTTGTTAATTCGTGAAGTAATCGCGCGAATCGAGGTTGTTGTGCCATCTGTATAACATGAAGGGAAATAAGAAAAGGTTGAGATCTAATTCCCGGCATAAGTATCTCTCGCTCCTGTTTCGATACGCTATCTCCGATACATCTGTCTCGAATGGCACGCAAACCCCCCCCCTTATGCGCGATTCCCGAAAAGGTGTATTGCGCAGACCGATTTTGTGCGAATTTATTCTGCGAGTCTAGCTCTCTATCTGCTCAAACCTAGTTGTGAAGAATAGAGGTGTCTTATTGTTGTGTTCTTCACAATACTTAGTTTTAATATGAAATTGAGTAATAACACGAATACGAGAATACTAGAAAATTGCCGATCTGTATATGCGAGTGTCTCTATTGAATGTCTGTATACAACTGGTGTCGACCTTCTAATTGTCGACAGGCAGGTCTGCCTAGCCGCGCATGTCATGTCGCTTATTACATAGGCGTAGTTAACACCTCCCCTATCTGGAAGAGTAACAGTAGTAATCTTCTAGCCTACGTGGACGACGTCTGTTGCGTTGAGAGCGTCTCAGCACTGGTAGCTGAACAGTTTCTGTTTGTTGATCCAAACCCTGGGACTTTTGTGTTAGTGTGAATTTGAACATAAACTTTTGTTCCTGGTTCAAATTTTTTAGATTTGACTGCATGTCTCCTGTTGTATTGTTCTTCTTGCTTTTGTTTTGGCAGCGGTTTCTCAGGTTGAGCAGTTGAGCATTTCGAGGGCTTAAGCAGATCTAACGTTGTTCGCATTGGTCAGCGCGCAACTTGATTTGATTCGCATGAGCTCGAACCAAACGACTTCGTGTTTCAACAAGTACATTGTAGATAACTTTTCCAACTTTTTCGACTACTTCTCCGGGGATCCAAGACCATTTATTGTAAGTGTGGATTTGAACGTAAACTTTCGTTCCTGGTTCAAAACTCTTGGATTTGACTGCGTGTCTCCGGTTGTATTGTTCTTCTTGCCTTTGCTTAGGCAGAGGCTTCTCAGGTTGAGCAGTTGAGCATTCCGAGGGCTTAAGCAGATCTAACGTTGTTCGCATTGGTTTTCCCAGCAAGGCTTCCGCGGGAGAAACTTGATTTGGAACATTAGGATTTGGAGTTGACCTGTAATAC